CTGTGCTGTTATGTGACTGTTCTGCATGAATTAAAAGCTGTTTTTCTTTTCTTTTCTTTTCTTTTCTTTTCTTTTGGACCCCTCCACAGCTCCACCACCCCACCTCCAGTACATCATGGTCCCTTTGCCTCACGCCCCATCTATGCTGGCTAATGCACGGTGCATAAAGCAACTGTTCAATATTTAGTTTTATCTCCAATGTTCATGGCGTGGAGGCTCCTGCCTGACTCATTACACTCTAGCCACAGAGAATGCAACTATTATCTCCATTAAACTACAGTGTAAGTCCATAGTAAATGCAAATAGACTTTGGTGAAAAGTAAGGGACAGATGTGCAGGACTCCATCACTTACTGTGTAGCTCTGTGTTTGCTGGTCAGTTGCAGTTGCTGCAGGCATTCTGTAAAGGCAGCCAGCATTGTCAGCTGAGTTGGGAGAGTTGGCCAAGGAGAAATGGAAAGAGTTGTGATGGGATGTGATCACAGAAAACCTCTTACGAGTGTTTCCCAGAATGGTGATCATGCCATTAACACTCGCCTTCTTGCTCTCTGGTGCTTCCCACCACCTCGTCCCACTGGGCCAGATTATCTGGTCGCCTTCAGACAAAGCACAGAGTTATGTTTACCACCCTCCTGACGATGTGTTTGCAGAAACTGAATCTCTTCCGCTCTGCGAGGCTGTGGTTCTAGGGCACAGCGCCCAGGAAAACAACCCCCAAAAGTGATCAAACTCCCAAATCCATCTTTTTCTGTGTAAATGTTTTATACAAGGAAAGCTCATGAGGGTGTTTGCCCTCTTTATCCATAAAAGAGAGATGCACACTGGTCATTTCCATCCCTACCCCCAGTAAAAGCATATTTACACTGGCCCTGATAGTAATCAAAAGTGCGTTTTTATTAAATGCAAACACTAGGATTGAAGTGGTTTCAAGTTAAAACAGACAGATCAAAGTAAGGGACTAAATTCAAATGAAAAAAACTGCCTAGCTAGTGCTAATTCACTAAAAAAAACACCCCTTATTGCAAGCAGATTCTTACTCTAATGAGGTGTTCTTATTCTAGGCATAATCTTCAGGTAAGAGATTCTTTTATCCTGACCTGGGTCCCCAATCCTTTGTAGCTTCTGACTAGCTAAAGACAAAGAGCTGATAGCTTCCCATTGCTTAAATAGTCTTTCCCTGAGAGCAAGATCCTTTTGTTCTACATCTCCCCTTCTTCCATGGAAAACTACCAAGGTCAAAATGGAATTCCAGTAAGGTATGGCCATATGTCTTACTAGTACAATCACCTTTGGGCTTACTTGACTAACAAAGCTATTCACAAGTCATTATGTCAATCACCAAGTCATTAAGACTTCCTGAATGTGGGGAACCAGTAACGGTTCTCATTAGCACATTGAAAACTATAAGCAGTCTCACACTTCATATTTCTAACTTTGCATACAAGAATGATACACACACCAAAATAGGATGCACAGATCTAGCAGATTGTAACACTAAAATGGATAGGTTAGACGAGGTATTGTGTTTAAAGCATTTTCAAGTTATGCATATTTATATTTATGTGTCAAACTTCATAAAGCATGGTGGAAGCGGACTGCCACAATAGTATTATGGTTGCTGTCATCTGGGGGTTTCCTTGCCCTCAGGAGGGAAGGCTGCTCAGGCTGCCTCTTTCAAATGTAATGAAAACTTAAGGCCAACTACACCAGTGCCAAGGTATACCTCTGCTCCCACTATTTATTAATTTTGACAGGGAAGTGGGAGTCACCAATTGCAAAGGTATGGATGATTGTGAGGTTTTGAGCGGGGGTGGAGGGAAACAGTACCACAAATACAGCTGAATTTCAAATGTATTTTTCAGGTTACAAATGGGACTTTGTCATCTGTGGGCACCTCTGCAGGTGACCATTCAGGAAGGAGCAACCCTCATCTATTTTTCTATGCGCTTCAGGTTAGGGTCTTATAGCACATCCATTACCATGGAATGTGTGTGCCTTCAAGGGTGCCTTAAGCAACGTGACTAGCCTCTGTTACGTGTGGTTCTTCTCTAGTACACGCCCCAGGGAGAAAGTCGTGTGTGGGTTTTATGTTTGTTTGTCTGTTTTGATGTGTTTGGAGTTTTTATTAGAGAAAACAGGGTCCAAAGAGTGTGCTTTGCTCTTGGAAAGGAAAGTGGTGAGGTTTGAGGTTGTCCTTCGTTCCTGCTGGCGTCTTGGATCAGCCCCAGAGAGAGCTCCGCTCCCTGCACAAACAAACTTTGCAGAGGACACTTCCATTGTGAAAGCAAAGCAGACCTGATGCTGTTGATCTTTCGGTGCCTGCACTTTGCTGCCCCTCCAACGTCTGCTACAAGGTACAGCTTCTGACATTGCTCTAGGTAAGTGATGTACAGGCAATATTGCCTAACGTTTAGCAGAGCTTAGTACTGGAAGGATACTGGAGGTGGTATTGCTCTTCTAGGGTTGAAACAAGGGTGGGGGGAAATTCACCATTGTCTTAAAGCCAGGCCACTTTGGGATGAGGCAGGGCTGAGCAGAGGTCTGGCTTAAGCAGATGTGAGTGCCTTTGACTCCCTACTGCAGAAAACTCCACAGGATTGATGGCAGCAGAAAGCACAAGTTAGGGTGGCCCCAGGGCAGCTTAGAGTCTTTCTTGGCCTGGAGAATCAGCAAAATTGGGGAGATTCAAGATGCATCCTCTCCATCTCTCCACTGACTTTTGGTCCTGGAATAGTGATCAAACAGAATTCTCTCCTAAGAGCCCCTCCAACCAAAAAGTTGCATGGTGTCTGAATCAGTCTGACCCTATTGCTGGAGGGAGCCCTGTCTACAAACACTGAACCCTGCTGGTTGTGTTTATTTAAAGGGACAAGACTTCCAAAAGCTATTCACTTTTAGACCTGTGAGTCACTTTTAGCAAGTTGATTGAGGTAGAAAGGATCCCTTTGCATAGATGCCATTCAAGAAATATTACAGCTTTGAGATTGTGTCTTGGTTTATATATATTTCCTTAAGCCCTAACTACAACAAATATACCCAAAGCAATGAGCAGTAACTAGCTAACGCCTGGCAAATGCAAAGTCTATAAGGCAGAACAAATAAGATTTTCTATTAAGCCAGCTTGTCTACCCCCATCAAAGCTAAAGCCTTTGCCAAAGAACTGCAGGGGATTTTATGCTGAGCTCCTCTACCACTGGGCTTTGAGACAAGGTTATCAACTCCTCTTTAGCCTGTTGCTAAGTGGAAGGTAGATTTGTATGGCTCCTCTTCCACTTTTGTCAGTGGTTAAAGTAGATTGAAAACGGCTGCTTCAGCCATACGGGGGGAGGAGGAGGTAGAAAGTTGAGAGGGTTGTTGAGATGTGCCGTGGAGCTGCAGAAGGGGAAAAGACATTCTGGGAAGGAAGCATTTCACTTGTCAATTCAGCATGTCCCGGTAGGGTCTCTTAAACACACTCATGCTTCCTCTCTGCATGTTTTGATCAGGCAATGCATCTGACTGTCCTGTCCAGGAAGCTTTATTAATTCACATTTTGGGTTTCAATTTGCCAAGGCCAATGGTACAAAGAAGACATTAAAAAAGAACAGAGGAGAGAAAGAAACACCCAACAAGAAAAAAATTGATTGTTCTTAAGGAGACAGAACTTTTGGAAAAGACAATATTGGACTGCAGGATACATCTAACCTGGAAAAAGTCCCCTGAGATGGGGCAAAAACCCTGAGCATCTTTCATTGTCTGGTAATGCCACAAGGCTACAATGGAAGAAGAAAAAGTGCCCACCATCTGCTATTAGGAACCCTTTGGCTTCCAAGAAGAGGTGGAATCCTTAAGGGGTGATTTTTTGTTCAGTATTCTTGCTCTCACCACAGGCCAGTAAACAGCACAAGGAGCCTGTTTGTAAGCTAATACTTTCCCACAACTATACTGCCCACCATGTTTGTCTGCTAAGAGCAGACCACAGTGCAGCAATGTCTAGACTATGGGGTTTTTCCGGGATACCAGAGGTATCTCAGAAAAACTCCGCCACATCCAGGGAATGCATCTGCCCTTCCGCTTTTTTTTGCAGAAGAGTAGAAGTGCTCTTTCAAAAGCTCTGTCTTCCTCCTCCCACAAAGAAGAAGGGCTCTTCCAAAAGAGGTTTTTTTATTTCTGAAATTTGGCCCAGTGTAGACAGAAAAACTATCAGAAAAAGGTACACAAATTGTGGAGCGCAATTTTTGTACCTTTTTCCGATGAAGCTCCATAGTATAGACATAGCCTTCCACTCCTACTTCACTGAAACGATCCCATTTTAACTCCACAGCATAGGATTACAGTATAGTACATCTCCAAAAGCAACAACCAAGCAGCATCCAAAGGAAATTATTTAATAGCTCATCTGAAATAATATGACAATGTCAGCATGTGAACAATTTACACCTCTTAAAGGTTGTTCAATATTTCCTGTTATTTTTACAATACATCCAGTGCATATATTTGGAAAATACAAACTAATATTCTCCTGTCAGTATTTCATTATATAATCCAGAGTCAGCACTCTTTAAAAAACAAAACAAAAACAGATTGACATTGAAACAGAGGTGCAAAAGCAACATGATATACAAACAAAATGAGTTTTAGTAAGTTTCTAACCATGTTCTTTTCTAACAGCTTTCTTTAAAAACATCAGTTTTGCAACTGCAATCTATAAATATAAAATACAAAATGCAAGTTTTACAAGCCATTTCCCACTGATATTGAGTGTTATTCCACCTGAAGCTTTTCCACCAGTGCTCTTTCAGAATAGAAAAATGCCTATATTAAGAGCAATATTATCTATTTACACATAAAGTTATGAAGTGTTTGAGAATATAAATTAATAATACCACAGAAAAAAAATACATTTACAGTGAAATAAATAATTCAACAGGTTTACATATTATAGAATCTGTAGAGTACAAAAGTAGTTCATATATAATATAATATATAATATACAAGTAATGGAGCCTGATTCTGCAATCACTTAGACATGTGTGTCACTTTAAGCACATGATTAGTCCCACTAAATTCAATGGCATTCCTCATGGGAGTGAGCATTACCAACATCAGTTTTGCTGGTATGCTGGTCTAGATAATACTTAGTCCTACCATGAGTGCAGGAGACAGGACTAGATGACCTCTCAAAGTCCCTTCTGCTCCTATGCTCAAAGTTAGCACATGTTTAAGTACCATGGTGAATCAGCCCTAAATAATGGCAGATCAGGACCCTACAAAAGACTTTGCATGAGCAAACAGAAATGCTGTCATATGTTTAGCCTTATTCTTGTGAACCAAGATACTGTTGGCATTCAGGGTCACCTTTCAATTCAGGAGATCCAGGAATTCTTTTCCCAGTTCTTGGATACACACACCAACATCCAGCAGGCTCTCCAGCCAGCGAAGTTTCACACTAAATAATGGGGAGGGAAAAAAAAGGACACTAAGAAACTAAACATATTAAGTATTTAAAAATAGCAAAAGCTAGAAATGAGGAAGCTAAAGTGCACAGACTTTTTGTATATTGTACCCTATTCTTATATAACCTCTAAACCTCCTCACTTATGGCTTAGATTTTAGAAACTATATAGCACCCGGTCCTGTAACCCTAGCTGAACTACGTTGGATGTGATATTTAAAGCAGTTTGCAAAATTCTGCTTGCTGACTTCTCCATAGACAGTCATACATTTCTCCTGAGGGAGGAAGAGGGAAGGCAGAGTGAAGAAACTCAGGGTAAGAACACTGACTCAGGGGCCTGATTCTCCCTCCACTGAAGTAAAGGGAAGTTTGAAAGTGAATTCCAGCTGGTGAGCCTAAGGCAACCACCTCTTTCTGTATTAGGATATACGATAGAGCAAGAAGGCAGAATTGGATTGCATGTGTGTGAGGAAAGGATAAAATCAGGAGTGAAGACTGTGGGTATGGTGTAAATGTAAGGCATGACTAGTAAATTTATACCTAGACTAATATATGTCTCTAATAGTTTTTCAAGGTTACACTAAATCATGACAAATCATCCAGAATTTGACACTGATCCTTGTTTTGCCCAGGAAAAGGTAGATATGGACTAAGTGCATGGATGGAGATTAACCTAAAAGCTGAATTCCTCTTATTATCTGAATATAGTGCTGTGAGTCTTCAAAAAAGGGAAAAACATAACCCATATATATGTTCATGGGTACTGCTGTGAATGAAGTTTATATTATAAATTGTTCTTAATATCCATTTGCAATACATCTCACAATGACTTCTTCAGATTAACTATTCTGTCTATAAATTTTATCAGTAATCTGGTCAATATACAATTTATTTATCTGTATTTTATTCATTGAAGGATAATCTCTCAAAACGTGAAGGATAAAATCTTGGCCTGGTGTTCATGGGGCCAGAACATCACCCAAAGGGCATAGATTTCCTTCCCCTCTAAGTAGCCCTTATTACACAATCACCGTGCTGACTGCAAAGCGTGTTGTGAATAGAGATTAGCTATGAATACCATAATGTTTTAGGAGCATGAAGATGGAGCTTGTTTAAGGATAGGCAGTAAGTTAAAGTACTTTAGAAGGGCACTGTACTACATCTATGTATAACAAGAGGACTTCAGCCTCCATTTCTGCCAATCTGAGCATTAAGAACACATATAAGGAGAAAAAAGGGAAATAAAAAAACCAATTTGCTCCTAATGTGAAGCCTTAATATGTTTATTTTCATGATCAATTTATATCCCCTCTAAAAACTCTAAGTTTAGGGATGGGAAGTTTAATGGAAAGTTGGCTGTAGCTGATCACCCACTAGTCACAGCAGTGTGAGTAGGCAATAAAAAAAATTACCTGTTTGCTATGGTAAAATCCATTCTTGTTGCAGTTTGGTAAATAGAATTTGTATAAATCTCCTCCAGTTCTCTCTTGGGCTTTAGCTAATTTATCCAGTGCCCTGTAGAGTTCTTTTTGGCAAGGCCCCTGAAAGAATATTTATATATTCAATTAAAATGCTGCCTTAAAAATATAAAATCCATATAAAATTAACTAATAGGTGAGGCTGAAACATGAGGATTTATGTTCCTAAATTCCCATGCATTAAGATGTTCCCCTTATTAATCAATCGAATTAATGGTTAGACACAATGGTCATGTCATCTTATAAATCAGGATAGCCCTCTTCACTTCAAAGTTGCTGTCCCAGTTTGTACTACCTGAGGATCTGGCCTTATAGTCACAGATATGTATATTTCCTGTATTTTTAATGCACACGGAATAGACTTTTTGCAGAAATGAATACATAATTTTTGTTGCCATCTGCATGTTCCATATTGACATTAGATGTCATATTAAGTGAATCAATGAATTCCTGATACATGCGCAGAACATAATAAAATGTTTTATTTTTCAATTATTCTTACTTAAAAAGTCTTTTCTGGAATGTATTTACAAATAATGATAATACAATTAAATAATTTGACATGGTTGTCAACCAATCCTTCAAATGTACTACTGAACAATAATTTTACAGAAAAGGATCATGTCAAAATAAGAAACACCAAAATCTAGAAAGTGTAAATTGGAGGGTAACATATGGCTAATTCTAACGGCTGTTGATGTTTTTAAAAGCATAACTGTATAAACAAAGAACTGAACAATAGCCAATATGTTGAGCCCTGCATAACTGTGGATATTTGCTTTATATCTGCAGGTACCCGCATCCATGGATGTGGATGCAGATATCCGTGGCTCATTTTTGAAAATACAGATGTGGATGCAGATACAAATTTTGTATCTGTGCAGAGCTCTACCAATATATTTAATGTTGAATAATAGTAAATAGGAATGCTATGACCAAACTAATAGCTTTACTTTAGCAAAACAAAAATAACCTTAGTGTGTGATCCTGCAAAAGATTGAAATCCTCATGTAAGCACTTGGGGCCCCAATTCAGGAAAGCACATAGGAAAACATAAAGCTTAACTTTAAGCTTTGAAGTCAATGGGGCTTAAACAGACTCCTGAAAGCTAAGTATGTGGTAAATATGCTGGAGGGCAGGGATAGGGTCCAGAGTGACCAGGAGTGGCCCGAGGTGGCCTGCGGCCTCTGGCGCCCCAAACAGAATGCACAATCGGCGCCACTGCCTGCACGGCTGTCAATGGCACTGTCAATTGCGTGATGTCATCATCGGGCGCCCTGGGTGCCCAATTGAAGGTGGCACCCTAGGCGATGGCCGAGTTGGCCTATATTCATGGGCTGCCCCTGAGAGTGACCTGGACAGATTAGAGGATTGGTTCAAAAGAAATCTGATGAGGTTCAACAAGGACAAGTGTAGAGTCCTGCACTTGGGATGGAAGAATCCCAAGCATTGTTACAGGCTGGGGACTGAATGGCTAAGTAGCAGTTTCTCAGAAAAGGACTTGGGGATTACAGTAGATGAGAAGCTGGATATGAGTGAATCGTGTGCCACGAAGACTAATGGCATATTAAAGTGTATTAGGAGAAGCCTTGCAAGCAGATCTAGAGAAGTGAGTATTCCCCTTTATCTGGCACTGGTGAGGCCACTTCTGAATTATTACGTCCAATTTTGGGACCCCCCAATGTAGAAAGGATGTGCACACATTGGAGAGGGTCCACCAGAGGGCAACAAAAATGATTAGGGAGCTGCAGCACATGACTGATGAGGAGAGGCTGAGGGATTTGAGCTTATTTAGTCTACAGAAGCGAAGAGTAAGGGGAGATTTAATAGCAGCCTTCAACTAGCTGAAGGGATGTTCCAAAGAGGCTGGAGAAAGGCTGTTCTCAGTAGTGACAGATGGCAGAAAAAGGAGCAATGGTCTCAAGTTGTGGTGGGAGAGGTCCAGGTTGGATATTAGGAAAAACTATTTCCCTAGGAGGGTGGGGAAGCACTGGAATGAGAGGCTGTTCTCAGTGGTGACATATGCAGACCGAGGAGCAATGGTCTCACGCTGCAGCGTGGGAGGTCTAAGTTGAATATTAGGAAAAAAACATGGCAACATGACTGTGCACTGGGCTCCATGTCCCTGGGGCTGCAGCTACCCAGCTTGGTTATGTAGCTCCTGGAAGCTAAGGGGTTCACGCCCCCTCCCGATCCTACATGTTCTGCCTCCTGCTCCAATGCTGCTGTGCAGATCGGGGTGGTGCAGCTGGTCAGACGTTGCTGCTGCCTTCGTGGGGTGCCAGGGCCTGGGCTAAGCTGCAGCTGCTCCCCTTACCTAGTGTTTTGCTGTGCCCAGCCAGGGGCTGGAACCAACTCTAGGCGTCCAGATTGGATATTAGGAAAAACTATTTCACTAGGAAAGTGGTGAAGCACTGGAATGGGTTACCTAGGGAAGTAGTGGAGTCTCCATCCCAAGAAGTGTTTAAGTCTCGGCTTGACAAAGACCTGGCTGGGTTGATTTAATTGGGATTGGTCCTGCCTTGGGCAGGGGGCTGGACTTGATGACCTCCTGAGGTCTCTTCCAGCTTTATGATTCTATGAGCTATATAAGTAAGGAATACTACTGTTAAGGTTGTAGGACTGAGTTCATTCCATGTCTCTATCCAGTTTAGTTCCACTATCCAGTTTAGCTCTATCCAAGCTATACAAATACTTTGGATTACGCCTTCCAACTTCTGTTCTCTGGTGCCCTCAAGTGGTGCATTAAATTACTGATGCATTCACCAGGCTGGTTGCTGTCAGTCAGTGTCAAATGTAGAAATTAATCATTATTCATCATAATTAATTATAAATGCTTTATATGCTTCTGTTTAATAGTATTTTATTGTGATCATAAATAGGCAAATGCAAGTAGTTTTAGCAAGTGTTTCATTATCAGTGTCTGCAATTTCTATATTATAATCAGGTATTTATCATGGGGTAAAATTTATCTCAGTAGAGGGGCTTACATGATACATAAAATATACAGAGACATTTTGCCTTTATTTCTAATTTGTCTGTCACTTAGGCCGTGTCTAGACTACATCCCTTTTTCGGTAAAGGGATGCAAATTAGGCATGTCGATATTGCAAATGAAGCTGGAATTTGAATTTCCCGTGCTTTGTTTGCATAATGCTGGCTGCTGCTTTTTTTTCGAAACTGGGCTTTTTCGAAAAAAGAGCCAGTTTAGATGGGGCATTTTTGCCAGAAATGCCCCATTTCGAAAGATCAGTTTTTGAGGCATACAGGATCTGTTGAAATGGGGCATTTCTGGCAAAAATGCCCCATCTAAACTGGCTCTTTTTTCGAAAAAGCCCAGTTTCGAAAAAAAAGCAGCAGCCAGCATTATGCAAACAAAGCACGAGAAATTCAAATCCTGGCTTCGTTTGCAATATTGACATGCCTAATTTGCATCCCTTTACAGAAAAAGGGATGTAGTCTAGACATAGCCTTAAGCACCTGATCAAAACATTTCAAAGACCAAGGGCTATTACTTGGTTGCATACACTAGTGTGAAGTCAATGGAGCCAATATGAAAATTTCATTCTCAATTTTCTGAATTGTAAGTCAAAAGTTTACTAATAAACTGCTACTTGAAAGACTTGTAGGAGAACCTACCTGCTCCTTCCATTTCTTTAGTTCGGTGATTTTCTTTGCTTTCATGTTTTCATAAGCGCTGATGGCGTTCCAAGGCATAGACTCTTCCTGGCCTTTAGGGAACCTCAGATGATAGTTAAACAATCGATCTTGTGTTATTTCAGTACTTTCTGGAGGTGCATCCTCAGGTTCCATAGAGCCTATATGGAAACAACAGTAACAGTCGGGTAATAATCTTTGATACAGTAAACTTCTACATTTATTTACCCAAACCAATAAAAGGAATATATGAAAACTTTGTGTATCACAATAAAATACACCCTCATCATAAATTTGTGTTAGTACAAATATGGCAGCGTTAATTAGTTAATTAGTTTGTTACCTTTTACACTGTAAATCACAAATATGCTGGACCCACACTCCTGGAAATGAATGATCTCACCCTACCATGGTATGCAAGTGCAGGTTGTGGGCTAAACTAGAGGAGTCTCAAATCAAAATTGTAACTACAGTAATTTAGAGCCTTCAGTTGTGTGAAAAGGTGTGGTTTTTAATCATAGAAGGAATTGCTCCAAACAGGGACCTATGTGACATGTTTCAGGTTAGTCCTGAAGTGTCTAACAATGACATAATTCATAGAGATAGGCAACAGATCTGTCCAACATGCAGTACATCAGCTAAACAAGAACTTGTTCCAACAGTGAAGCACTCACACCCTGACTCAGCAAGGTACCTGCACCTAACTTTAAGAATGTGTACCTTTCCACTGAAATCAACAGAGGTTGTTATCACTCAATGGAACTACTCAAATGGTTAAAGTTAGGCATGTGCTTAAGTATCTCATTGGAACAGTTAAAAAAATCCTGAAAAAATAGCAATTACAGGTTGGACCTCCCTGGTCCAGCACCCTCGGGGCCTGATGGGTCCCAGATGAGGGATTTTGCCAGACAAGGGGAAGTCATTTCTGGACCCCCTGCTGCCATGCCCCCACCTGACCCACTGGCCTCCCAGCTGGCACCTCACCTCCTGCTAGTCCCGCTGCCCTGCCGACCCTGCTGAGCAGCCATCGCTGCTCTGGGACCTACAGGACAGCCATTCGCCACCGATCCCTGCCCCACCGAATTACCGGGACTCCCAGATCCACTGGGCAGCCATGTGTGTACCTCCCAACCCCGCAGAGCAGACCTGCTCCCATGCCCTAGATGGGCCACCATCGGCTAACTGCAGCCCACTGTCCTGCCAACTCTACAGGGATCCTTATCGCTGGCCCTTTACTGGGACTCTCTGGTCCTACAACCTCCGTGCCAGACCATGGATGTTCCCAGATCAGAGAATCCCAGTTAAGAGAGTTTCAACTTGTAGTACTTTTCCTATGATAATATTTTGGACACATTGAGGGGGGAAGAAGACTGTAAAAAATCACCCACTGGCCCATTGAACCAGAATTTCAATCACAAAAGTTGCTGATATTCTGCAATAATATCAAATGCATCTCTACTTGTAACACTTGAACAAATTGTGATTGCTTTTGCCCTGCATGCAAAAAATCTTATATCCACTACCATCCCGGCCCATTGTTATTACAGTTTACATTTTTCACTAGCATCTGACCTGGTCAACTATGCCCTAAACAAACAAACAAACCAAAATCAATAAATTACTCGGACTCCCTTTCCATAGAGCTTTAGCTGATTCTGACTCTTCCTCCACCAAGGTTTTGTTTTCTCCCTTGTCTTGCCTTCTCACCTGGATACTGTCATAAGCTTGTCTCAACTTTGTAAGGGGATGTGTGTCAGGGTGAGTGGCTCAAACTATGGGAAACTTTTGCTAGGAAAAAAAAATTGCCAGTTTTTCTCCCACCCCCATTTTCCAGCTACATTTTTAACTTTTCTAAGTTTTCAGGCCAGCTCATGGCTGGTCTTGGTCAATGCCCTTCCCCTTCAGTGGTGCTGGAAGTAGGTGTACCGGGTGCTGTGCCGCGCCCCCTGGTATGAAGAAGTAATAACAAACACCAAATACATGGTTTCCAACAGCAGCACCTCCCCACTATAAAAATTATTCTGGCACCTGCTCTCCTATCACAGTTTATTCCTTGCCCCATGCATCCTGTTCCCTCAGGCTTTAGTTCTGCATAGCACCTGCCACAAGAAGACAGACCCAACACCTGGAGTAGGTGCAGGGAGACACCACATTGATATACCTGCAGCCTCTGCCATCCGCATCCCTTCTGCATCTGCTGTTGGCAGGCATGCCGCTTGCCCATGGGTGAGAGTATACAGGGGTCTGAGGTCCCCTGGCTGCACCTGGCAGCTGAGCCCCTGGCCACAGCGTGCGGTGTATACCCCGCAGGCCTCCCCCATCTGGAGGGCACATGTCTGGCAGCAGCCACAGCTGGGCTGATGGGCCCTCTCTGGGCAACTGGCAGCCACCGGTGGACACAGCGCCAGCTTCTCCTCCGTGCAAGGGGCACAGTGCAGCGGCTGGGGGGCAGCCCCAAAGGCGAGGCCAGGGCTAAGCAGCAGCAGCCAGCCATGGCGGCAAGGAGCCCCCAGTGGCTCCAGCTGAAGAGGCAGGTTTCTTACCAGCCAGCCCAGCCTGCGTCCTTTATGTCCTGATTTGCCTGCCTATTAATCTTTAACCCCAGGTTAGCTATTAGCTGAGCGGGAGGGTTGGAGTAGCATCCTTTCATTGGTAGCTAGGGTCTCCTGCCTCTCTGCCCCCCTGCCGGTCTCCTCCACCCCCTCAGTCCTTTATTCATTTTTCTCTTTAAAGTTGCAATCAGACTTTTATTTTTTCTGTCCTGCCTCAGTCTGCTTAGAAAACAGGTGTGGGAGTGAGCAGAGGGGAAAGGGTTGATGGGCTGTTTTGTTTTGTTTTGCTTTTCTCTCTGTCTACTTTTATTTGCCACCAGATGTTCAATAAAAGATTTCAATGTAAAAAGGAAGGAGGAGGGAGCGGGGGAAAACCCCTTGATGCAGAAACAGCTGACCTAATAATTCCACAGCAATGAAGGAGTCAGGGAGAAAAAAAAAACCAAACCCCTTGTTTAATTTTCATCATGTGGCTTCAGGTTACGAGGACACAGACATACCAAGCGAGAGGTCCCGAGGGCAATAAAACAGGATCTGGGTACTACTGAACGCATACACGTAGGAGCTCATGTCATTAACCTGTTTGGAAAGCTTGTTTAGCCAAGATTGTGTTGATTTCCTGGGGATGTGCTCAGTTTCTGCTGCTCTTTGATGAAAGTTACTGGGGTGGGGGCAGGATATCTCAGCCATGAGCATCTGCTGTTGTGGAAAACAATGCTTGTGAAACAGAGAAGAAATGTATCTTTCCTGCATCTCTCAGCCACTTTGCCTCTCCATCTCATCTCGTCTCATCTCATCTGACATTTGTTTTCTCTTCTTGCATACAGAGGTTGTGAAGGAAAATAGAAATCACAGTAAAATGCTACAGGAAAATGCTACATTTCATTTGCCCTATATCCTAGCAGACTTGGAATAAGAAATGTATCTTTCCTGCATCTCTCAGCCACTTTGCCTCTCCATCTCATCTCGTCTCATCTCATCTGACATTGTTTTCTCTTCTTGCATACAGAGGTTGTGAAGGAAAAAAGAAATCACAGGAAAATTCTACAGGAAAATGCTACATGTCATTTGCCCTATATCTTAGCAGACTTGGAAAAGAAAATTCCTCAAGAAAGTCAGCTGCTGCAGTGCGTAAGTGAAACAGTTTTGGTTTTGTTCTCTAAATTGAAGTCCTCTCCCCCATCTGCTCCTGAAACTTTTTGAGATTCATTTTGCATGAAACAAAGTGAAATAAAGATGCATTGTACTGTGAATTGCTGGGCATTGTGTCCTTTGGTCTTGTCCCTCATTTGCATATGGAGGGTTATATTTTCAAAAGCAACTACTAATAAAGTACTCAGCTTGACATATGTTGATAAGGTATGATTTTCAGAAAATACTAAGCACTGACCCTCTGAAAATCTGGTTCCTTTTAGGTGTTTTCAGTTGCATAGCCCAAAAGTCAAAGTATCCCAAACCACTTGCAACACTTGCAAGGCAGAGTGTCTCCAGTGACTATAAAAGTGTTAGGCTATATCTAGACTGCAAATGTTGGAAAAAGATACAAAAGTGTTAGGCTATGTCTAGACTGCAAAGAAATGTCGGAAAAAGATATGTAAATTGCAAATCGCAATTTGCGTCTCTTCCTTTTTTTTTTTTTTTGGAAGAGGTTTTTCCGAAATTTGGCCCATCTACATGGGGCCAGATTTTGGAAAAACCTCCTCTTTCAGAACATCCCTTCTTCCTCATACAATGAGGAATATAGGGATGCCGAAAGAACGCATCTGCTTTTTCGGAAACTGTTCCAAAAAAGCAGACGTATTCCTAGTACACGGCATAGTTTTTCCAGGATACTTCCGGTATCCCAGAAAAGCTCTGCAGTGTAGACATAGCCTTATTCTAGGTTTACATTGATGGAAATAGGAGCAGAATTTGGCCCAAAGCCATGGCACAGAAGTTCCATAGTAAAAGCACAGCACTGGCATCTTTTCCAAGTCTGATGCTTATTTTCTCACGAGCTTATGAATTCTTTTCTGCCAGCAAATCTTGCACAGAAAGATGCTAAGGAGGCAGTGTTCTGGGAAAGGAAAAACAAATTTATGAACATTCTTGAAATAAAACTAATTGCTGGAAGTGATAAAGCCCCAAAGCTCATTCATACATGTTATTGCTTTGGAGTGGACTATTTTGTACAGAACTGAGTATAACTACTGACTGGCGAGCATCAAGAAACTCCTGCACATCAAATGACTATAACACATATTTTAGCAATCCTAATTGCAATCTCAAATAAATTCCTTCAAGTGAAAAGGGGCTATGAAAGAGGGAAATACTTTCACTACAACAATGTGCAGCCTTTTCTGAAAAGTTTTGGGTTTTTTTAACTGCATTTTTAAGTGAACGGCTTAAAGGAAGAACATGCTAATGCACATGTTGTAATCCTAGTTTGAGCATTACTGACAATAGGTCTGATTTGCCAAATTCTAATTGAAATCTTAATTCTTTCAAAGTTCCTTGGTGTCCTGGTTCTTGGAGTTTTTCTTTGATTCATTGTATAGATAAGATACAGCTGGGAATATCTGTGCCAGATTATATTTTTTTCTATTAGTTGGGAGTATTTGGACCTGGCATTTGTTCAGACTCACCTCTAATGCTGAGCACACAAAAGCATGAATTATACAGTATCCTGGGGGATTTTTTTCTACAGTTACTGGGGCACAAAGCTACAGGCCTGCTTCTCCACTGCTTTGCATCTTCTATGGTCAGTTACACCTCTGCACAGAGAGGGTAGTGCTCTAGTAAACCAGATGTTGCTTGGTTTTACATGACTGCACAGGCTCAAGGTAGCGGGGAATCCGGTCTAACTATCTTTTATTATGTAAGTAGTTTGCTTACTTTAGAACAGAACAGAACTACCTAAGACAGATGTAATCAATGAAGTGATGCTAGTGCAGCTGTTTATATATGCACTGTTTGATGTAATACTACAACTTCCCAACCCAACCCACATCCCTGACCTTGACATAGCTTTAAAGAACACAAACAGCGCAGATAAGAGTTATCGGATACAAAAAAGTGTTCACCATGTAAAATTGTGTTGACTGAAACCTGTTGACAGTATTTTTAAGGTCTTTTTACTAGTGCCATCTTATCTGACCACTCATCATGAAACAGCACATGAATCACCGTCTGTGCACTGGCAATCACTCACCAGTCGCTGTCATTTCATTCCGAGATCTCATTTTGTATGATAAAAAGCTAACTTTTTTTTTTCAAAAAAGAAAGATGAGATTAAGGTGATCCATGAGGGATCAGTGCTATGTTAGCCTTCCTTCAATGTATGGAAACAGGCAGGTGATTTTTACTCATCCTTTTATCCTAATTAGCAGAAATTCAGCTGTTTTGTAAAATATTTTCCCTGCCATTTCTGCTGTCCATTCCCCAGGCAGTGAAATTATTGTTAGAACTCAAGATCAATATTGCCTCTAGAGGGAAATTATACGTTTAATATCCTAAAATGGTCCTTACATACGAGAGAGGAGCAAATAATATTTATTCCAGTGATTCTCAAGCTTTTTTTTATAAAGAGAACTACCTAAGACAGATGTAATCAATGAAGTGATGCTAGTGCAGCTGTTTATATATGCACTGTTTGATGTAATACTACAACTTCCCAACCCAACCCACATCCCTGACCTTGACATAGCTTTAAAGAACACAAACAGCGCAGATAAGAGTTATCGGATACAAAAAAGTGTTCACCATGTAAAATTGTGTTGACTGAAACCTGTTGACAGTATTTTTAAGGTCTTTTTACTAGTGCCATCTTATCTGACCACTCATCATGAAACAGCACATGAATCACCGTCTGTGCACTGGCAATCACTCACCAGTCGCTGTCATTTCATTCCGAGATCTCATTTCAGATATAGCAGCCACTTTTACAACCCGAGGGCATAGGCCAGAGAGAATTCTGTTTCCCTTCTGTTCCATGGAGAAGATCTCTTGAACAAAGTACCTATGCTGTGCACTCAGTTTTCTCCAAACTTCAGTTGTGTTGCATACCCTCAGACTTCTCTCAAGTACCCTAAGGCTGTGTCCAGACTGGCCAGTGTTCCCGGAAAATCAGCCGCTTTTCCGGAAAAACTTGCCAGCTGTCTACACTGGCCGCTTGAATTTCCACAAAAGCACTGACTTCCTACTGTAAGAAATCAGTGCTTTTTGTGGAAATGCTATGCTTCTCCCGTTCAGGCAAAAGTCCCTTTTGCGCAAAACTTTTGCGCAAAAGGGCCAGTGTAGACAGCTGAGATTTGTTTTCCACAAAAAAGCCCCGATCGCGAACATGGCGATCGGGGTTTGTTTGTGGAAAAGTGCGTCTAGATTGGCCATGGATGCTTTTCCGTAAAAAGTGCTTTTGCGGAAAAGTGTCTGTGACAATCTAGACGCTCTGTTCCGAAAATGCTTTTAACGGAAAACTTTTCCGTTAAAAGCATTTCCGGAAAATCATACCAGTCTAGATGTAGACTAAGTGTACTCGTAACACTGGTTGAGAAACACTAATTTATTCGATGAACTTTGCCCGCTTTTCTGCTTGATAAACCTGTTTAAAATGATTTCCACCAATTTATTCATTATTCAAAGTATTTATCAAATGATTTCTATGAATAATTGTTGTTCTATAGATTGCTCACAAGTGGTTTCTTACAAGGGTCTGAAATTACATCTATTGTTGGTAAACATTGATTAGATTCAGGGGTCCTATCGTGTTGTTTCTGTACTCTGAATGGATACCTGCAACACTTAGGACCCATCTCCATTAAACACTTAAATCAACCAATATTAGGTCAATTTGCAGACACCACAGTAAATAACTGTTGGCTACATCTATACTGAACCCTTCTTCTGCAAAAGCTTATGCGAATGAAGAGTGGAGTAGAATATTGCCATGCTTCAT